ACAATTTCTATGTATGTCATAAGTAACCATCCCACTGTCAGCACTGATGTGCGGACCATGTGGAAGAAATTACTTCCTAGCCCTAACTGGTTTGGCTCAGGGGATAGAGCGTCATCGGCCTGTGGAGTGAAGGGTCCCAGGTTCAACTCTGGTCAAGGGCATGTACCTTGGTTGGGGGCACATCCCCAGTAGGGAGTGTGCAGGAGACAGCTGATCGATGTTTCTCTCTCATCTATGTTTCTAACTCTCTATCCCTCTCCTTTCTTCTCTGTAAAAAAATCAATGAAATATATTTTTTAAAAAAAAGAAAAAGAAATTACTCCCTACCCAGGTAAGTCAACCCATCTTATCTTCAGTTTCCTGAAAAGATTCTGAGATTTGTGCTTTCTTGCATATCTGAATAAGAAAGGAAGGGTACTTGATGTTTAAGTTGTGTAAATATCAGAATGTCCATACCTGTATATAATTTAAAAATATATTTTTACTAGAGGCCCAGTGCATAGATTCATCCAGGGTGTGTCCAGCCTATCTTGCCCAGTCCCAATCAGCCAGACCCCAGCAGCAAGCTAACCTACTGGACAGAGCGTCTGCCCCCCGGTGGTCAGTTGGCATCATAGCGACTGGTCAAACGGTCAAAAGAACAGTCAGACACTTAGCATATTAGGCTTTTATTATATAGGATTGATTTTTAGAGATAGGAAAAGGGGCGGAGGAGAGAGAGAGAGAGAAATATATATATATAGAGAGAGAGAGAGAGAGAGAGAGAAATATCAATGTGAGAGTGAAACATCCATCAGCTGCCTCCTGCACAACTCCTACTGGGGATGGAGCCAAAGCCCAGACGTGTGCCCTGACTGGGAATCAAACCGGCAACCTTTGGGTGCATGGGACAATGCTCAACCAACTGAGCCACACTGGCCAGGGCATACCTGCATATAATTTTTATTAGATTTTATTTGAGTTAAACTGATGACAATTGCTGGGAAGCAAAATCTCAAATGCTTCAGAGAATGAGTTTTGCAGTTTCTTTTATCTTTTTGGAATTAAGGAGGTTGGATTCCAAGAGCAGCATCCCAAGAAAAAGTGGAACCTGCCAGTCTCTTAAAAGTTGGATGTGGGAATTGTTGTATTGTTGCTTTCACTACATTCTTTTTTGTTGTTGTTAACCCTTACCCAAGGATATTCCATTGATTTTTAGAGAGAGTAGAAGGGAAGGGGAGAGACGCACAGAGAGAAACATTGATGTGAGAGAGACACATGGATTGGTTGCCTCCAACACACACCCTGACTGGGGCAGGAATCAAGCCTGTAACTGAGGTATGACTGGATTTAAACCCAAGACCCTTCAGCCAGGGGCTGATGCTCTAACCGCTGAGCCAACCCACTAGGGCTTAAATTCGTTTAAAAATTGAATTTATTGGGGTAACAGTGGTTAATAAAATTACATAGGTTTCAGGTGTACAATTCTATAATACATTGTCTGTATATTGTATTGTGTGTTCATCACCCCAAGTCACATCACCTTCCATCACCATTTATCCCCTCTCTACCTCCCTCAACCCCCCTTTTCTTTTACTATATTCTTTTAGTCTATGGAGCCTAAATTCAAAAAGAGAGGACATAGACTCCACTTCTTTTTTTAAAATATATTTCTATTGATTTCAGAGAGGAAGGGAGAGAGAGAGAGAGAGAGAGAGATATCAATGATGAGAGAGAATCATTGATCGGCTGCCTCCTGCATGCCCCCTACTGGGGATCGAGTCCGCAACCTGGGCATGTGCCCTTGACCAGAATCTAACCCCTGAACCTTCAGTCCACAGGCCAACACTCTATCCACCGAGCCAAACCGGCTAGGACGATCCTTCTCCTTCTCCTTCTCCTTCTCCTTCTCCTTCTCCTTCTCCTTCTCCTTCTCCTTCTCCTTCTCCTTCTCCTTCTCCTTCTCCTTCTCCTTCTCCTTCTCCTTCTCCTTCTCCTTCTTCTTCTCCTCCTCCTCCTCCTCCTCCTCCTCCTCCTCCTCCTCCTCTCCTCTCCTCTCCTCTCCTCTCCTCTCCTCTCCCCTCCTCCTCCCCCTCCCCCTCCCCCTCCCCCTTTTTAAAAAAAAATATATTTTTAATAATTTCAGAGAGGAAGGGAGAAGGGGAGAGATAGAAATATCAATAGTGAGATTCACTGATCGGCTGCCTCCTGCACACCCCCCACTGGGGACTGAGCTCGCAATTGGGGCATGTGCCCTGACTGAGAATTGAACCATGACCTCCTGCCTCATAGGTTGACGCTCAACCCCTGAGCCACACTGATGAGGCTAGACTCCATTTCTTGATGGGAAACAATTTTAGAACCTGTGGTTTTTTTTAAAAAAATTTAGTTTTAATAACTTTTGTGGGTATTTGTTTATTTATTTTTAATCCTTACCTGAGGATATGTTTATTTATTTTTTTTTATTTTAGAGAGAGGAAGAACTAAAGAGAGAGAGAGTGTGAAAGGGAAACATCAATATGAGCAATATCGATTGTTTGTCTCTTGTACGCGCCTGTGACCAGTGATTGAACCTGCAACCTATGTATGTGCATGGGAATGATACTCCAATGAACTGAGCCACCCTGCCAGGGCCTCATTCTTATTTTCAAAATTATTTATTAAATTATCACCTGCTAATCATTATTCTGATCTCTGAGGATACAGCAAAGAAAAAACAAACAAAACCCTGGTCCAAATCTATGTTCTTGTGGAGCTTACATTCCAATGGAGAAAGACAATAGATATAATAAAGTAAATCAAATATATATTGTGTTAAAAATATAGGGTCAGAGAAGGCTTCACTGAGAAAGAACCTTTGAGCAGAGACTTGAAGAAGGCGAGGCAATGAGTCATGTGGTATCTGGGAGAAGGACACTGTAAGCAGAGAGAACAGAGACTGCAAAGGCTTTGAGGTCAAATGTGCATGGAGTATTTAAGGAACAGCCCCACACCCAGAGATTCCGATTCAGGAGGTCTGGGGATGGGGGGGGCGCGGGGGGAGCATATTAACAACAGCCTAGTGATTGACTCACAGCCTTCTGACCCTCATTTTGAAAACTTGGGCTTCTAGGTCTGGTTTTTAGCTCAGCCTTATCCCTTACTAACTGAGCTTCATTTTCCTCTAATGTAAAAATACTTTGGGGTAGGATAACAGCACCCGATTTGACAGATGTTTGTTTCTTTTTCTTTTTTTAATATATTTTATTTATTTTTTACAGAGAGGAAGGGAGAGAGATAGAGAATTAGAAACATCGATGAGAGAGAAACATCAATCAGCTGCCTCCTGCACACCTCCCACTGGGGATGTGCCCACAACCAAGGTACATGCCCTTGACCAGAATCGAACCTGGGACCTTTCAGTCTGCAGGCCGACGCTCTATCCACTGAGCCAAACCGGTTTCGGCTTGTTTCTTTTTTATTTTTATTTTGTTTTTTGCTTAAAGTATTATAAAGAGTAGTACATATGTCTCTCTTTTTCCCTCCCCTTGACCCTCCTCCAGCCTCCCCTACCCCCCAGTATCTTGCGTCCATTGGTTATGCTTATATGCATGCATACAAGTCCTTTGGTTGATCTCTTACCTCCCGCCCCCAACCCTCCCTAGCCTTCCTGCTGTAGTTTGACTGTCTGTTCCATGCTGATCTACCTCTGTATCTATTTTTGTTCATCAGTTTACAATGGTCTTTATTATCCACAAATGAGTGAGATCATGTATTTGTCTTTCATTGACTGGCTGATTTCACTTAGCATAATGCTCTCCAATTCCATCCATGCTGTGGCAAATGGTAAGAATTCCTTCTTTTTTTACAGCAGCATAGTATTCCATTGTGTAGCTGTAACACAGTTTTCTAATCCACTCATCCGCTGATGGGCACTTAGGCTGTTTCCAAATCTTAGCTATGGTAAATTGTGCTGCTATGAACATAGGGGTGCATATATCCTTTCTGTTGGTGTTTCTGGTTTCTTGGGATATATTCCTAGAAGTGGGATCACGGGGTCAAATGGGAGTTCCATTTTTAGTTTTTTTGAGGAAACTCCATACTGTCTTCCATAGTGGCTGCACCAGTCTGCATTCCCACCAGCAGTGCAGGAGGGTTCCCTTTTCTCTGCATCCTCTCCAGCACTTGTCCTTTGTTGAGAGGTTTGTTTCTTTAGGTTCAGAAAGGGAGCCCCCACCCACCTCACAGCAACCTTTTCCTTGCCTGCTTGCTTTTTCTTTCCCCTTTCTGGTTTTCTTTCTCTTTTCAGATTTCCTTTTCTCTCTCTCTATACTTCTCCCCCAGCCTCCTCCTTACCCTTTTCTTTTATGCTCTCGTTTATTTTTCTCTTTTGATCAAGTGTTGCCCTGGACTTCCTTCACCCTGAGCAACGGGGTTTCCAGGGCTGTGCATCCCTCCAGAGGTCTGGAAAGGGGCTCCACTTACGCAAACGTTCCAGTGACGTGTGCCGCCTGAGTGTATCTGGGAGCACAGGGACTTTCCCAGCAGGTGGTGGGGTGGTGCGGAGGGGTATCTGCTGGCAGTCAGGACAAGGGGAGCCCTAGGTTGGCCGGTCAGCTGGGTATTTTCCAGCTTCACTCCAGGCGTCTCCTAGGGCGGGCTGTTGTGCCTTCCCTGGTCTCCGAGGCAACGCCTTCCAGGTCCGCCTCCTGCAGACGGGTTTGAGAACTCCTAGGCACAGATCTGAGGCCAGACTCCAAGCGGTTCTCAACCTGTGGGTCGCGACCCCTTTGGCGGTCCAATGACCCTTTCACAGGGGTCGCCTAAGACCATCCTGCATGTCAGATATTTACATTACGATTCATAACAGTAGCAACATTACAGTTATGAAGTAGCAACAAAAATAATTTTATGGTTGGGTCACAACATGAGGAACTGTATTTAAAGGGCCAGAAGGTTGAGAATCACTGGGCCAGAGGCTTAGGTTTGCGGAGCGGAAAGAGCGGAAGGCTTTTGGCCTGTCGAGGCCCCCGTAGCGAGGGGGCGGGGCCCGGCAGGGAGCAGGATGGCGGCCCGGGACAGTGACAGCGAGGAGGACTTGGTCAGCTATGGGACAGGCTTGGAGCCACTGGAAGAAGGTGCGAGTCTGTTTGGGGTCCAGGATTTGGGGAGAAACGCATAACACTGTGCGGGGCTTGGCTGGCCCGGGGCCAAGACTCCCAACTGCGGGCGCTGGGGACAGCGATGCGAGGCGTGCGGCGAGCTTTCGGGCTCACGTTCTGGAGCGACGGACGAGAGACTCAGGGATGGGAAACAGCAAGATGCCGAGACAAGCTCCTGGGAGAGTGGGGCTGGGTGGTCAGGCAATGTCTTTACGAGGAGAGCGTGTTTGAGGCCAGATTTGAAACAGAGGAAGGAACCAACCGTACGAAGATCTGGGGGAAGAGCATTTCAGGTGGCACGGCAGAGGCAAAGGCTCTGAAGTCGGGGCCAGTTTTGCAGATTGAGGGACAGGCAGGACTGGTGTCGGTGGAGCGGGGAGTGTAGGAGTGTGGGGGAGTTTACACCGGGGAGAGGTGTACATTTTAAAGATTACCTATTTTGAGAATAGGCGTCGGGTTGGGGGTGGGCAAGAGCGAAGCAGGGAGATCAGCGAAAAGAGGTCTGGAGATGATGATGCTTGGACTGGAGTGTTAGCGGTGGCCACGGTGATAAGTCGTGTCCTGGGCCCAGATATACTTTGAAAGCAGAGCTGACAAGCTTGCTGGTGGGATGTAGGGGAGGGCAAGGCAAGCAAGCTTCTCTCCCATGTTCTGGCCTGATCCTCTTAATGACTTGATTTGTTCAGCAAAGTATGTATTGAATGCCCAGTAAGGACTGGTGGCAGTTCTTTCCCTGTGGGGAAGAGGAAGGAAGCATGGCTGGGAGTTCCTTGCAGACCTCCTATTGGTGAGATCTCTTTCCTACCCTGACCACATCCTGCTGGCTGGTTGTACTTCTGGGACATTTCCACTGGCCCTTTTATTACCTATGAACAGTTGTAATCATTAGACACTTCTGCCATATACTGGCCCTGCTGCCATCCTCTGCTTCCGAAAGACGGAGAAAGGCTAGTCTGCTGAAAGCTCTTTGTGTGTTTGAAGACAGCCTTTGAATTTCTTTTAAGGCATCTCTGTACCACGCTTAACATCCTCAGCTCTCTGATACATTCATTTACAGTCCTCTACCCTAATTTGTTAAAGCATTTCTCCAAGTATGGTACCGGAGTGTGGGTAGAACAGGGCCGTCACGACTGTGTCTTTCATTCTAGACTGAATTTCTTTAATACAGTCTAAGATTACATTAGCTTCATTGGAAAATACATCACCCCATGATCTCAAAGAATTTGTTGACAAAGATCCTTTATTTAAAGAGTTTCAAATCTAGTTAAGAGCTGTTAACTTGTTAAGAAATGTTCAAGCCTGTAGATAATTGTTAGAGTTTGAGTTTCTTTGAACCAAACGGGATATGCCTGGAAGCAAGATCTCAACAGACTAAAAAAAATGCCTCCCAAAATGATAGTTTACCAAAATGATCATTTACAAGTGTGGTTTATTATTATTATTATTATTATTATTATTATTATTTGCATTTGGCCTGCCCAGTGTTGCTCAGTGGTTGAGTGTCAACCCATGAACCAGATCATGGTTCGATTCCCTGTCAGGGTACGGGCTCCATCCCCAGTAGTGGGTGTGCAGGAGGCAGCCAATCAATGATTCTCTCTCATCATTGATGTTTCTACCTCTCTCCCCCTCCCTCTCCCTTCCTCTCTCTGAAATCACTGAAAAAAGCATTTGGCCCTGGTCCATGTGGCTCAGTTGGTTGAGCATCTTCCCATGCACCGAAAGGTTGCCAGTTCGATTCCTCATCAGGGCACATGCCCAGATTGTGGGCTCAATCCTGGTCTGGGTGGATGCGGGAGGCAACCAATCAACATTTCTCTTTTATTTTTTTATTTTTATTTTTTTAAAAATATATTTTATTGATTTTTTACAGAGAGGAAGGGAGAGGGATAGAGAGTTAGAAACATCGATGAGGGAGAAACACCGCAGGGATGTGCCCGCAGCCAAGGTACATGCCCTTGACTGGAATCGAACCTGGGACCCCTTCAGTCCTCAGGCCGACGCTCTATCCACTGAGCCAAACCAGCTAGGGCAACATTTCTCTTTTAGATGGGTATTTCTCTCCCTCTCCTTTCTTCTCTCTCTAAAATCAATAAAAACATAAACATTAAAAAAAAAAGGCATTTGGAGTTAAGGAGGGGACCTAAGGAAGATTAAATGAAATTGAGAGAAAGCAAGGTGGGGATTAGATTACAGGGCAGTAACAAGATTATGTGCTCCCTTGAAGGAGGTTACATCTCTGAGGGGTCTGAAAAAAGAGGATTTCTTTGTCATTTCAAAGATGTGTTAACCTAGATACACAAGAATAATGGACAGGGCTTGCTTAAGGCAAAGATAAATCTTCCTAAAAAGTTACATGCTTTGAGTGTGACTACTCACCATGACATGCCTGTTAAGAATTTATGTTCAGATCACCCTATGAGGTCACTGGTCTTGTCAGATTTATTGTAGAACCCCCTTTTCATCCACAGAACGAAAGTACAAGGTTCACAAGTGCAAAAGTATGTGACGGTAGACAGGAAATAACCTATGCAAGCTAGCAGGAAAACTTGAGAAGGTGGCATGGGATCCTTTGGAAACTGGTTTGAACTTAGCTATGCAGGGCAAGGGTTAAATGGGCGTGGTGGTTTATAACCATCTTAGGCAGCTGTTCATATCTATTCTATATTTCTGGTCTCATAGTTGTTTCCTTGTGAAGTGACGTATTGTATGTAAGTCATCAACCACTTGACCTATATTTTTCTAAATGTTCCTGTTTTGATGTTGCACGAAATCTGAAATGAAGCCTAATGGCCTAACCTTGCTTTTGAAGTGGAAGGAAAGGACATTTGATTTGTAGATTTTTTTTCTTTTTTTCTTTTTAAATATATTTTATTGATTTTTTTACAGAGAGGAAGGGAGAGGGATGAGAGAGAAACATCGATCAGCTGCCTCTTGCACACTCCCCGACTGGGGATGTGCCCGCAACCAAGGTACATGCCCTTGGCCGGAATCGAACCTGGGACCTTTCAGTCCGCAGGCCGATGCTCTATCCACTGAGCCAAACCAGTCAGGGCTGTAGATTTTTTTTTTCCAGGGCCTGAAATCATCCTTTAAATTCTCACTATTAGAAGTTTTTAAAAATATACATATATATTTTAATTTTAATTTTATTGATTTTAGATAGAGCAAGGAAAGGAGAACAAGAGAGAGAGAATAAGTCAGTTTGTTGTTCCACTTATTTATGCATTCATTGGTTGGTTCTTGTATGTGCTCTGACCCGGGATCGAACCTACAGCCTTGGTATATAGGGATAATGCTCTGACCAACTGAGCTACCCAGCCAGAAGTTTCTGAGTATTGATTTATTGTTTCCCAAGCACTTTGAAGTTTAAATGCACTCTGAGTACATTTTACATTATAACATACTAGACCCATAATCATTTTTGCTTCCTGCTTTGAAGTCTTAGTGACAGGTTAGACAAACATTGTTAGGGGAAAGACTCCACCACTTAATTAAAGTTGCTGTCCCTGATAGAAAGGTTTATTGGCTGCACTGTCACACACAGACCCAGAGACATCATACGCCCTCTGGCCTGGAAGGAGGCGGGCACCAGTACTTACCTACTCTTTCCTTAGACACTTTCACTTGGCTCTAGAATTGTCACCTCCAGCTCATCCTGTTACCGGAGGGGTGTGTGCCCCAGGTGGGTCTCCTAGGGCTCACTTGTAGTGTGTAGATTCTTGACTTCATGAAGGAAAGATTTCACAACATGAGTCCAGGTAGTTTTGAGAGTATGTTTATTGAAGGTGGGGACAGTGAAATAAAGGAAGGGCTTATGGTAGAAGAAACAACAGGAGAAAGTCAGAGAATAGGGGGCCTTGGAGACAGGTTCAGGGGGTAAGCCTGGATCGAGATGCTGCTACCCACTGCTCCCCTGATTGCAAGGCTTGTGGGGACTCTTAAAGTTTAGGAGACAAAGAGCAAAGATACAAGGCTTGGGTGTGCTCTAGTGAGAGCACACTGTGGAGCCTTTGTCTTGAGGCTTTTTAAGTCTTTTCTTGGCTGGCTGGAATCCTAGGGGAGATCTAAGAGGAGGGTCTTAACAGAATATTCATTAGCTTTCCAGGCGTGTCCTTCAATATGTTGATTCATCAAAATGTGCATATAGACAGGTCAGGGTTATTTTCTGGTTAGTTTTATTTGTAAAGAAGGCATTGAAAAGGGACTGGGACTGAGGCTGGTCTGCCCAGGGACAGTCTGGAAGGTGTAAACCATTTGCTCCTAAGTGTCCTTGGTTAGGGAAGATAAAATCTTGTGATTTATTAGCTGGCTGTAAATTGCTCAAATTATTTGGCCTTGTCTAATTATTTTGTCTCAGTTTCTTTTATTCCACTTGTCAAGGACTTTCCCTAGCTTACTATCCTGCTTCAATCCTGAACACAAATTAGTTTTAGGACCATTTTCCTCCTCCTTGATGCTGTGACTCTCCCACTTAAAACGATCTGGCACAGCTGGTGTGGTTCAGTGGTTGAGCATCGACCTCTGAATCAGGAGGTCACGGTTCGATTCTTGGTCAGGGCACATGGACTCGATCCCCAGTGGGCGTTATGCAGGAGGCAGTCCATCAGTGATACTCTCATCATTGATGTTTCTATCTCTCTCCCTCTCCCTTCTTCTCTGAAATCAATAAAAAAAAAAACTATCTGTGGCTCCCATCACCCATAAGACATATCACAGACCCTGCAGCACCATGTTCAAGGCCTTCTTCATGGTCCTCCCTTCTGGTTTCATGTTACATTCCTTCCCTGCCATCCAGGCAGACTAGACTACTTTCTCAAGACATCTGACATTCCCCTTTTAGGCCTCTGTTGAAAATTGTGTTCGTATTTGCAGCTATCAAATTCTGCTCCTGGTCAGAGTGACGATGATGTTGTGCTCTTTACACACTGTCAGAAGAGTTCCTATACACACAGGTCTCCTCTGCCAGGCTCTGGGCACCCTGGGATCAGGGGTGGAGTTGCATTCAGTATTCCATACGTAGGATCTAGAACAGGGCTGCTTCCATGTGAGGCCCTCAGTAAACTTTCGGTCAGGGGTGAGTGAAGGACAGTATGGGTGGCATCCCTGGCTTGGAAGCAGAGTTGGGATCTGAGTTCAGCTTTGTGCTATTAGCTGTGGACCTCAGGGCAGATACTTAATCAAAGCATCTTTATCAGGGTATGATGAATGAAATAACATGTGTGACAAGAAGGGGTTAGTTATTATTAGTAGCAATAATTATAAGCAGGCCTGGCTAAAATGCCACCTTCTCCCTGGAGTGGTTAAAGGTGGCGCCTCCTCGGGAGTCCTGTGGTTGGCCCTCATCATCTCAGCCATGGGTCCCGAGCAGTTATCTGCAGATCTTGCCTCCCCTTTCAGATCAGAAGCATCTGGAGAACAGAGCAAGACCAGCACCCAGCATTGGGAGGACCTGCCTCTCTCGCATTCACACGATGACTGTTCCCCACAACAAAATGGCAATAGGCGCTAATGTTGAGAAACCCCTCCTTTGCCAAAAATCATGCCAAGTGCACATGCACATGTTTACTGCATTTCTAAGATATGGTGGAAATCTTGGATTGTGGGTCCTAAATTGTCAGTTCTTTAGAGTGAAATGTAATTATAGCTGAAGTTAACTGAGCTTTGCTAAGATCAGATCTCTGAATGTGGTATTTAATTCTCAGCACGAATCTATAAGATAGGCTCTGTTAGTGCCCTTATTTTGTAGTTTCGGAGCTAAGGCTTATGGAGATCAAGTAACTTGCCCAAGTTTACAGAGCTAGCAAGTAACAGGGTACGGGGATTTGAGCCCAGATCTGTTCGTCTTCAAATTCTGTGGGTTACTCTTGACTACCCTCCTGTGGATTATACTCCAGAAATGACCTAGAGACCCCATAAGCTACAAGTAAGAATTTAAGACAGTGAGACTGGAAGTTACTTTACTTTTTTTCTTTTTAAATATATTTTTACTGATTTCAGAGAGGGAGGGAGAGAGAGAGAGAGAGAGAAACATCAATGATGAGAGAGAATCATTGTTCAGCTGCCTCCTGTATGACCCCCACTGGGGATAGAGCCTGCAACCCGGGCATGTGCCCTGACGGGGAATCGAACCCTGACCTCCTGATTCATAGGTTGATGCTCAACCACTAAGCCACGCCAGCCTGGCAAGTTCCTTTACTTTTTGTTCCATCTTCCAGAAGTAGTAACTGGCTTAATTATTGAAGTAACAAGTACACATGAACTTTAGGACACATCTTACCTATTGTGAATAATAATAATAATAATGGTAATAATAATAATAGTACTACCTCGTACTTTAAAAGTATTTATTGTGGCCAAAACCGGTTTGGCTCAGTGGATAGAGCGTCGGCCTGCGGACTGAAGGGTCCCAGGTTCGATTCCGGTCAAGGGCATGTACCTGGGTTGCGGGCATATCCCCAGCGGGGGATGTGCAGGAGGCAGCTGATCGATGTTTCTCTCTCATCGATGTTTCTGGCTCTCTATCTCTCTCCCTTCCTCTCTGTAAAAAATCAATAAAATATATTTTAAAAAAAAAAATAAAAAATAAAAGTATTTATTGTGTGTCCCTCTTCTTGTTAAGCACTTCACAGGCATTATCTTATTTAATTTGCATAACAATCATATGATATAGTTATTACTATTAGTGTCATCCCCATTTTATTTTTTAAATTTATTTAAAATTTGTTTTTATTGATTTTTAGAGAGAGAGGAAAGGAGAGGGAGAGAGAGAAACATCTATCGGCTGCCCCCGCACGCCCCCTACTGGGGATTGAGCCTGCAACTCAAACAAGTGCCCTGAAGGGAATTGAACCAACAACTTCGTGGTTCATGGGTTGACGCTCAACCACAAAGCCACACCTGACGGGCTCATCCCTGTTTTACAGATGAGGAAATTGAGGCACAGAGAGGTTAAGATGATTAAGTCCCAGTGCTAGTAAATGTGGAATTCCAGAGAGCTGTGACTCTCAACCCTGTGCCCTTAACTATTGTATGACTTGCTTTCTGTATTGAATGTTTGAAACTAACTTGATGGTTACTTTTATTTTAAATAGATTCAGAATTTTGAATTTGAGTTGATAAAACATATAAGTTCCTTTCTGCTTGTGTGACATAGCAACCCAACCCCTTTCAGCAAAATAGGAAAAGGAGTGAGTTTAAAGAATAGTAACTATAGCCCTAGCTGGTTTGCTCAGTGGATAGAGCGTTGACTGCAGACTGAAGGGTTCCAGGTTCGATTCCGGTCAAGGGCACATGCCCAGGTTGGGGGCTCTATCCCCAGTAGAGGGTGTGCAGGAGGCAGCCGATCAATGATTCTCTCTCATCTCTCCCTCTTCCTTCCTCGCTGAAATCAATAAAAATATATTTAAAAAAAGAATAGTAACTATAGAATCAGAAGATTCCCAGAAATAAGGAAACTTAAGATTTGGAAAAAATGGGCAATACCTAAGGAAAAATTCTGGAGTTGGGAATGATATGAAGTTCTAGAAGAGACATAGAAGTATTTTTTCTGTTGCAGACTTATGCCTGCCATGTGCCACACCAGCAATTTGCCTCCTTCACTGCCAGCAGATTTTTTTTCCATCTATTTGTATTCTCCTCCTTGGCCAATATAATTCAGTTTTCATAATGAAAGTTAGTGGGAAAAGCCGGCCATTTTTTCTAAAAAATATTTCTAATATAAATAAAAGACATCTATAATTGCTTTAGAGTATAAAGAAACTTGGTAAAATTAATACTTCCTAAGCTATATAAGCTAGTGAAGTCTAGGAATAGGAATGTAATTAAAATTACTATATTTGATGTTACCGGAAGTGAACAATTTATTATATTTAAGAAATGACATCTTCCTTAATTTTTTTTCTAATCCACTATCCCCATTCTTCTTTCTCATTCAAAATATTTTTTTTAGGTGAGAGACCAAAGAAGCCAACTCCTCTTCAGGATCAGACTGTCAGAGATGAAAAAGGAAGGTATAAGCGGTTTCATGGAGCCTTCAGTGGAGGGTTTTCTGCTGGGTACTTCAACACTGTCGGCTCAAAAGAAGGTATGATTTTCCTACTTACAGCTATATTCTTGCTAAAGCAAGTGATTGAAATGTCACAAGATTCTCGTCTCCCTACCTCTCTTTTTAAAAAACTTATTATAACATTTTAGTACATACATTGTACACTTTTGTCTTCTCTCAACATTTGGAATGTTTCCAGACTCAGGTTTGATTGATTGCAACCTGAAGATGAGTTTTTTTCACTAACATAAACTATAACTGGATGATAAAATGATGATAATGACTTCCGTTTTACATTGCATCTTGCCATGCACAAAGTACTCTCACACAGATCCACTCGGTTAATCACTGTCTCACACGGCTCAGTGACTAAGGAGGGCAGGTGTCACAGTCGTTTTGCAGGTGAAGCTGAGGATCAGACTCCGCTATCCTGACATGGGACCAAGCCCTCACCTGTCAGTACATGCTCTCAACCTGGAGAAAATCTGTTACATTTTTCACATGGTGCAATGTAATATATTCTGCATTCATTAAAGTAATGTATGTTTTTTAATGTTTTAACATAGAAACTGGAGGAAAAATGGTTTGTATATCTCAGATATGAATAGAAGATGGACTAATTAACTCATGTAGGAATTAAGAACAAGATAGGACAGATTTTATGTGTATATATATATTTATTTATTTATTTATAAAAAAAATAAGTTTTAATATAGCCAGTAATACTATAACTATATATGTTGTTAGATGGATACTAGATTATCAGGGGATTACTTCATAAATTATATAAATGTCTAACTACTATGCTGTACACCTGAAATTAATATAATATTGTATGTCAACTATAATTGGAAAGTAAATTAATTAAAAAATAACTTGTACACAACAACAGTGGTAAAATAAAGATGAAAAGTAATGCAGGAAAGAAAGAAAAAGAACCATGTAAAAAAATGGTTGGTGTAAATAAGATGTTAAAGCTCAGTATTCAGGGCCTAACCGGTTTGGCTCAGTGGATAGAGCATCGGCCTGCGGACTCAAGGGTCCCAGGTTCGATTCCGGTCAAGGGCATGTACCTTGGTTGCGGGTACATCCCCAGTGGGGAGAGTGCAGGAGGCAGCTGATCGATGTTTCTCTCTCATCGATGTTTCTAACTCTCTATCCCTCTCCCTTCCTCTCTGTAAAAAATCAATAAAATATATTTAAAAAAAAAAAAAAGCTCAGTATTCAGAATGTGTAAAGATCAGTTCAGTAGGCAAATGATCAAAGTATTTGAACAGTTTACTTCAGGTAAGATAGAATACTACCAGTATATGGAATATTTAGCTTTATTTTTTTTAAAAAAACAAATTAAGATAACTAAACCAAATTAAGACACTATGAAAATAGCACATTATTACAATGTTTAAAATGGCAGTAGGGTTTGTGAAGAAGGAAGCACACAAATACATTGCTGATTATTATAATTATGGCTGTGTTGCAATTTACAATAGCTAAGATCTGGAAACAGCCCAAGTGCCCATCAGTAGATGAGTGGATAAAAAAAGCTGTGGTACATTTACACAATGGAATACTATGCAGCAGTGAAAAAGAAGACTCTCTTACCCTTTGAGACAGCATGGATGGACCTGGAGAGCATCATGCTAAATGAAATAAGTCAGTCAGAGAAAGACAAGTATCACATGATCTCACTCATATGTAGAATCTAATTAACAAAATAAACGGATGAATGGAGTGGATCCAGAGACATGGAAGCATGGAACAGAGCAGAATCTCTAGTGGATGGGAGGTGATCATATATGCATATATGCATAATCCATGGATGTAGACAGTGGAGTAGTGGGGGGCTGGGGAGGGGGAGTGGGTGGAAGTGGGTTGGAGGGGGTCGATAGGGGAAAAAGCGGGACATATGTAATACTTTCAACAATAAAGATTAAAAAATAATAATAAAATTAAATCTTTCAATTATGAAGAAGAATATAATTATGGCTATGTTGCATATTATAATTAAAAGGAAGGACCAGTTCAAATGATTACGCAGGTAGACTGTGATATGTTAATATACTGAAATAGCTCTTTACCATTAGGAGCGACAGATTCAAGGACTCTGCAGAAATAGGGGAAAGACTACAGAAATCGAAAGTGGAGGAAGGTGCTGGCCCACGGTATTGCCCAAGAGAGCAGATTCTTACTCTCCTGGGAAATCAATCTCCCAGGTTGACCCAGAAACCTGCTCCACCCATCTGCCAATAGTAGATAGCCCGTACTCCTCAGCAAGAATTGTAAGATATCAGAAAGTAGAGAAATCTGTCACTCTTAGAGAAATCTAAAGAAGCTTATCTGCAGAGGGTTACAGATGCATTTGATGGCCAGAGCATTCTCTCTCTTTAGTCAGGGCACATGCTTAGTGACTGTGGATGGGGAACAGGACGGTTAGTTATAGGACTCAGGTGTTTGATGGAATTGGGGGCCTGCTATGGCCATTGCCTGCCCTTAGCCAGTGGTTCTCAACCTTGGCTGCACATTAGAATCACCTGGGAATCTTTTTAAAATCCTGATTTCTGGGCCTCATCCTCCGGAAATTCTGTTTCTTTGTTACGGGGTGGGGCCACAACATTAGTAACAAAAAAAACAGAATTTCCGGAGGATGAGGCCCAGAAATCAGGATTTTTTTTTTAATTTTTATTTATTTATTTATCTTTAAATTCTTTATTAGTTAAGGTATTACAAATGTGTCCTCATACCCCCATTAACCCCCATCCTCCCCTCCCCCCCTCCCACTCATGCTCTCATCCCCCTGTTGTCCATGTCCATTGGTTTGGATTATATGCATGCATACAAGTCCTTTGGTTGATCTCTTCCGCTTACCCCCACCCTCCCCTACTTTCCCTCTGGGGATTAATAGTCTGATCGCTGTTTCTCTGTCTTTGGATCTGTCTCTGTTAGAAATCAGGATTTTAAAAAGATTCCCAGGTGATTCTAATGTGCAGCCAAGGTTGAGAACCACTGCCTTAGACCAAAGTCCTTGGGTTAGGCACCCTGAATGTTATTTGCATTGCTTTTGTAACTTTCTCTTTTGCCATTCTTTCTTGGCTGACTGTACCTTGACATATTGTTTCTTTTAATTTTTTTAAAAAAAATATTTTATTGATTTTTTACAGAGAGGAAGGGAGAGGGATAGAGAGTCAGAAACATCGATGTGAGAGAAACATCGACCAGCTGCCTCCTGCACGCCCCCCACTGGGGATGTGCCCGCAACCAAGGTACATGCCCTTGACTGGAATCGGACCCGGGATCCTTCAGTCTGCAGGCTGACGCTCTAGCCACTGAGCCAAACCGGTCAGGGCTAGGGTTAAAATTTTAATTAAAAAAAATATGTTTTTGTTGATTTTTAGAGAGAGAGAAATAGAAACATCAATGAGAAGCATCAACATTGATCAGCTACCTTCTGTACACCCCATACTGGGAGTCCAGCCTGCAACCTGGGCATGTGCCCTGACCAGGAATTCAACCAGTGACCTCCTGGCTCCTAAGTCAATGCTCAACCACTGAGCCACACTGGCTGGGCCTAAAATTTTAATTTCTTATTGAATTTATTGAATATGTTTGGGTGACTGATTAATAAAATTATGTAGGTTTCAGATGTACAATTCTATAATACATCATCTGAATATTGTGTTTTGTGTTCACCAGACATATTGTTAATTTGATATGCTAATTTGTCAGTGTAAGTTGCTGTTCTGCTGGTCTCATAGTGGTCCTGCCTTCTATGGTGACCTTGAAGCTTTCTGGTCAGATCTACTTGTGTCCTTTTCAGTTTAACTATCCATGTGTAATTTGATTTTACTTGGTTCCAATTTTTTATGGGGAAGCCTCACTGTATACACTAAGTTCTGACAACAAGGGGTATGGGGCTTATAAGTTTATGTGGAATAATTACATCTGTATGAGCAGTGAGATGGGAAGTAGCCAGGAGTTTGTAGTTATTGGGGCTTTCAAGTCCATACATGTTATTTAATTATTTAGTTATAAGCCAAATGCTACCTAGGATTGTAATGTTCTAAACTCTTTTCTTTGAAGGATGGACACCCTCTTCCTTTGTGTCTTCACGACAGAACAGAGCAGACAAATCTGTTCTTGGTCCGGAAGATTTTATGGATGAAGAGGTGGGTGCGCAGAATTTTAATTCCAGTTAGTTTGTAATTAGTTGGTGTAGCACCTTCACCTTCCTCAGAAAGTTCAGTGTCTGATTTCCTCTTTGTTTGTAAGGTTTTATCTTTTAAGTACTTGGATTATAGTGCCCTGTGTATCACTGGATTCTCATTCATTAGAGCAGCATCTTACGATGGGGGTAGTTTCTAAAGACAAGAAGGGGATGCTGGGCCAGCATGGCTCAGTGGTTGAGCATCAACCTATGAACCAGGAGGACACAGTTCGATTCCTGGTCAGGGCACATACCCGGGTGGCCAGTTCGATCCTTAGTGTGGGGCATGCAGGAGGCAGCCAATCAGTAATTCTCTCTCATCATTTATGTTTCCATCTCTCTCTCCCTCTCCCTCTCTGAAATCAATAAAAATATATTTTTAAAAAAGCATGTAGGAGAGCCCTTCCTGGATAGCTCAGTTGGTTGGAGCTTACACCCAGGGTTTCAGGTTCCACTCCACTGCAATAAAACGAATATGGGAATAAAGCAAGTCATGTGAAATTCTTGGTTTTCCAGTACATATAAAAGTTATGTTTTTACTCTACCAGAGTCTATAAATGTGCAATAGCATTATTTCTTTTAAAAAATTACATACCTTAATTAAAAAATACTTTATTGCTAAAAAATGTTAACCATCATCTGAGGCTGTTGGAAAAATGGCACCACTAGACTTGCTCAATGTAAGGTTGCCACAAATTTTCAATTTGTAAAAAATGAAATACCTGCAAAGGACAGTAAAGTGAAGTACAACAAAACAAGGAATTCCTGTACAGGCAAATTTATTTGAAAAAGCCTGTTACCTCAAAAGTGAATTCATTGAGCCAAGTCTCCAGCCTTTCACAGTAACTCACGCACACTGCAGTTTGAGCAGTGAGTGCTAGAGAAAGGAGTGTGCAGGCACCTGGGCCTATTGTTTTTTTTTTTGTTTTGTTTTTTTTTATTGATTTCAGAGAGGAAGGGAGAGGGAGCGCTAGAAACATCAATGATAAGAGAGAATCATTGATCGGCTGCCTCCTGCACACTCCATACTGGGGATCGAGCCCACAACCTGGGCACATGCCCTGACCAGGAATCGAACCATGACGTCCTTGTTCATAGGTTGACGCTCAGCCACTGAGCCCTGCCAGCGGGCCCAGACTCTCTTCTCAGTCATCTTCTGCATGCCAGCTTGTTCTTACACTAGATTGTCTCATGGTTGCAAGGTGGCTGCAGGAGTTCCCAGGGGCACAGCCACGATGACATTATTTAGTAGAAGAAAGACTTTCTTCTTGGTATCTTTTCTTTTGATCAAAGAAACTATTTACATAAATCTTCCAGTGAATTTTCCCTCCCATCTGCTTGGACAAATTGATCTACATGCTTATTCTTAAAAAAATAAAAAAATATGTACTGATTTTAGAGAGAAAGAAAGGGAGAGAAACATCCATTTGTTGTCCCACTTATTTATGCATGCATTGTTTGACTCTTGTATGTGCCCTGACTTGGGATCCAGCCTGCAACCTTGGCTTATTGGGATGATGCTCTAATTGAGCTACTCAGCCACGGCTACATGCGCAGTCCTAAAGCAAGGGAAATGGGATCAAAATGACTGGCTTGATCCAGTGATCAAGACATGAACCCCCATTCCCTAACTCTCCCCCCACCCTAGCCTACACACACCAGGGAGCAGGTGCCTATACCCATGGTCAGGAAACTGCGGCTCGCGAGCCACATGTGGCTCTTTGGCCCCTTGAGTGTGGCTCTTCCTAAGCCTTAGGAGTACCCTAATTAAGTTAATAACAATGTACCTACCTATATAGTTTAAGTTTAAAAAATTTGACTCACAAAAGAAATTTCAATCGTTGTACTGTTGATATTTGGCTCTGTTGACTAATGAGTTTGCTGACCACTGGCCTATACAATTTCTGGGTGCTGTGGGGAAAGAGGTAGGGGCAATGACTGTTGGACAGGCAGCCAACAGTAAATGCAAAAGCACTTAACTCAGGGCCGGGCATATAGGTGCTCATGAATGCTTGTTGGCTGTGACTCTAAGATTTGCCCCCTTCACGCCGACCTCTGAAATATTGCCTGAGAAGAATTAGGTCCTTCCTGTTTTCCTAGCTTGGTAGTGCTCCTTGTGGCCTCACTGAGTAGCCACTATAGTGTCCCTGTCCTTGTGTTGTGGCAGAATGCACGGGAGAACGATCAGCCAGCACTCTGAGGGAGGAAAGTTTAACCTTTATTTCGCAGATCTGCTAGTCCAGGGGAATTCCGGATCCAAAGCCTGAACTGAACTCGTGGGGAGGCTCTGGCCTATATATCTCCTCCTGTGGCGAGCCCCTGAGGGTCCCTGCAGCTCCACCCTAGTCAGCTGTGGCGGGGCCCTGGGGTTAGGCTCTGCAGTTCTGCCCAAGTCAGTCAGAGTGGGGAAGTAAGACTGCATTTTTAACCAGATATTGAACTAGGTTGCAAGCCCCCCATTTTCCTTTTCACGTGGCCACTGGCCTTATGTGAGGGTAACAAAGTCAGTGTGTGAAGTCAGCCGCTCACCTGATCCCAAACTCAGTTTTGTGGTTTTAACTTTTTGTGTGTTTTTTGTTAATCCTCACCTGAGAATATTGTTCATTTGATTTTTAGATAGGGTGGAAGGGAGAGGGAAAGGAGAGAGAGAGAAATATTGATGTGAGAGACACATCCATTGGTTGTCTTTTGTATGCACCCCGACCAGGGCCAAGGATCGAACCTGCAACCCAGGTACGTGCCCTTGGCTGGGAATTGAACCTGAGAACGGCCCAACACTGAACATTGTCCAGGGCTTAACTTTTTTAAAGAACTAAAGCTACGTGATGCATCATGTTTAATCACTTCTCTAATAATGAAATAATTTTGTTTGATTTTTTTTTAAAGGATCTTAGTGAATTTGGGATCGCACCTAAAGCAATTGTTACCACAGATGATTTTGCTTCCAAAACCAAAGATAGAATACGAGAAAAGGCCAGGCAGTTAGCAGCTGCTACTGCCCCTATTCCTGGAGCCACTCTGCTTGATGACTTCATAACGCCAGCAACGTGAGAAGAATTTAATTTTGACTTTTCTGATCTTGAAATTACTGCTTTGCATATATATGATGATCTTACTTAGGGAAAGCTTGGTTGCAAGTAGGATAAGCCTTCTTAGCCTAACTTGAGTGCAAAGGGGGGTTTTCCCAAAAGGGTCTTGCATTGTTAGTGCATGGAGTGCTCTAGATCTCCAACCTCATTCTACTCTCTCATTCTGCTTACCTCCATGTTCTGCTCCTGGGCACGTGGCCTGATATGACAGCCTTAAATGTCATGGTTTCCCAGGCCCCATGCTTGACAAGGACCATCTGGAGTTCCTATGTGCCCATTCTGGGCCCAGGAGAAAAGACATCTCATCAACTTCCCCAGGTCAGACATACACCCCAAGTCCAGTCATCCAAAGCACGTCCAGAATGGCAAGGCCATGCAGTTTTAACATGAATGGGGGGAAGGGTTCAAGTAGGAAAAGATTATGAGCTAGGCAGGAACTCAAAGGCTGCTCACTTCCTACTGTTATCTAGTGTTATAAAAAGAAGTTCATTTTTAATGCCTTGATATCCTAGATTATCTGTTGGTTTTGAATTGCTAAGAAAAATGGGTTGGAAAGAAGGACAAGGAATTGGTCCTCGAGTAAAGAGAAGACCACGCCAACAAAAACCTGGTATGTATATTGATTGTCATTAACCCTAATCCTAATACTTTTTAAAAAAATTATTGATTTAGAGAGAGAGGAAGAGAGAAACATTGATTTGTTGTTCCACTTATTTATGCATTCATTGGTTGATGCTTGTATGTGCCCTGATTAGGGATCGAACCCACAACCTTGGGGTATCCTATCTAATAAAAGAGAAACATGGTAATTAGCATACGACTGCTACCCTTCCCATTGGCTAATCAGGGCGATATGCAAATTAACTGCCAGCCAAGATGGCGGCCAGCAGCCAGGCAGCTTGAAACTAACATGAGGTTTGCTTGCTTCAGTGACGGAGGAAACCAACGTTCCCTGCCTGCCTTGCGGGCCTCTGAGCCTGTAGTTTGAAACATTGTAATAAATATAGAAGCTAAACAAAACCCCAGAAACCTGCTTTCAGCCAGCTGGGATCTCAGAGCTGGAGTTGATACATTGTTTCGATTATAGAACCCAAACAAACCAGATACCTGCTTTCAGCAGCAGAGGCCTCAGAGCTGGAGCCAGAGCTAAAGCTGGCCCAGAATAAAAAGAAAAAAAGGAGCAGTTGGGAGCTTCAGCCCTCAGCCCCTCACCCAGACTGGCCAGGCACCCCAGTGGGGACCCCCACCCTGAAGGGTGTGTGACCAGCTGCAAACAGCCATCATCCCCTCACCCAGGCTGGCCAGGCACTCCAATGGGGACCCCCACCCTGATCCAGGACACCCTTCAGGGCAAACCAGCCAGCCCCACCCATGCACCAGGCCTCTATCCTATATAGTAAAAGGGTAATATGCCCCCCAGCACCGGGATCAGCATGACAGGGGGCAGCGCCCAAACCCCCTGATCACCCTGCGGCTCTGTGTGTGACAGGGGGCGGGGCCACAACCTCCCTATCCACCCTGTTCTGTTCGTGACAGCGGAAGGCGCCCCAACCTCCTGATCAGCCCTTCTCTGTGCCTGATACGGGGGAGCTCCCCAACCCCCTGATCGCCCTGCGGCTCTTTGTGTGACAGGGTGCGGCGCCCCAACCCTCCCCTCCCCCACGGGCCCTGCTCTGTGTGTGACAGGGTAGAGCCATAACCTCCTCATCGGCCCTGCCCTGAGTGTGAGAGTGGTGGCGCCCCAACCCCCTCCCCCCCCACGGGCCCTGCTCTGTGTGTGATGGGGTAGAGCCATAACCTCCCCATCGGCCCTGCCCTGAGTGTGAGAGTGGTGGCGCCCCAACCCCCTGATCGGCCCTGCTCTGTGGGTGATAGAGGGTGGCGCCCCAACCCCCTGATCCACCCTGCTCTGTGTATGACAGGGGGCGGTGCCCCAACCCCCCTGTCGGCCCTACCCTGAGCGTGACTGAGGGTGGAATCACAACCTCCTGATCGCCCTGCTCTGTGCATGAAGGGGGCGGCGCCCCAACTCCCCAATCGGCCCTGCTCTGAGCCCGACCAGGTGCTGCACCTAGGGATTGGGCCTGCCCTCTGCCACCCGGGAGCAGGCCTAAGCCAGCAGGTCCTTATCTCCCGCGGGGTCCCAGACTGCGAGAGGGCACAGGCCAGGCTGAGGGACCCCCCTTTCCCCCCGAGTGCACAAATTTTTGTGCACCAGGCCTCTAGTCGGGACATGATGCTCTAACCAACTGAGCTACCCAACCAGGGCCCTAATACTTTTTTTTTTTTTTTTTTTTTAGTATATTTTATTGATTTTTTACAGAGAGGAAGGGAGAGGGATAGAGAGTTAGAAACATCGATGAGAGAGAAACATCGATCAGCTGCCTCCGGCACACCTCCTACTGGGGATGTGCCCGCAACCCAGGTACATGCCCTTGACCAGAATCGAACCTGGGACCCTTCAGTCCGCAGGCCGATGCTCTATCCACTGAGCCAAACCAGTTTCGGCCCTAATACTTTTTTTAAAAAATGTTTTTATTGATTTTTAGAGAGAGAGGAAGGGAGAGGGATAGAGAAATAGAAACATCAATGACAGAGAAACATCATTAATCAGCTGCCTCCTGCATGCCCCCCTATTGGGGATCTAGCCCGAAACCCAGACATGTGCCCTGACCAGGCATCGAACTGGTGACCTCTTGGTTCCTGGGTCAGCGCTCAACCATTGAGCCACACCAGCCAGGCCCTAATATTTTGTAATGGCTACATTTTTCTAGAAATAAAATTGCTGGGTGGCATGCAGGTGTTTTAAGGCTTTTTGTGTGTAGTGTGAAATAGCTTTCTGGAAGAATTGTATTAGTTTACATTCCTATCAGGAGCATATGAAACTGTTTCCTGCTTCTGCCAAAACTGTGTCACAATTTAACAGGATTATTTTCTATTTCTTGCCCTTGGTCTCCCCAGCCAGACTATGAACTCTTAGAAACAGCAATAATTATTTTAGGTTCTCCCTAGTGCTGGAGGAGTAGTGGTTACTCACTTCGCGCATTGTTGCCAGAGAGTGGATGGGCAAGGACTGGGGGAAAACACTTTCTGAGTGATCAGTCTCCAACCCTAGAGCTGTAGCGCCTTTTACAAGGGCAGCCATGCACCTCTAAGAGTTTCAGAAGCTTGGATTTCTGTATTTTTCAGTTGCTCATGACTGATGCATTTGAAATCTCTTTGTATAGATCCTGGAGTGAAAATCTATGGCTGTGCATTACCTCCGGGAGGCTCAGAAGGATCTGAGGTATTATACGGGATGACTGTAGCATTTGTTATTTCATGAAGGTGAAATTTTACAAATTGATTAAAATAAATATATATATAATTGATTTTTTTAGAGAGAAAGGGAAAGGGAGAGAGAGATAGAAACATTGATGAGAGAGAAACATTGACCAGCTGCCTCCTGTATGCCTCCTACTGGGGATCCAGCTGGCAACCTGGGCATGTGCTCTGACCAGGAATTGAACTGATGACCTCTGGTTTATGGGTTGATCCTCAACCACTGAGTCACACCTGCCAAGCCAGAAACAATTTTTGAAATGAATCGTATCCCATTGCAGTGAAATACCCATACCCTAAAACTATCCTCATAAGGTCAGATAATGTATTCATCAATATGCCTGCCAGCACCATAGATATACCAAGTCTGTTAAAATGGAATTGCTTGTGTTGGTATCATTTGTTCAGGGACTTGATGTAGTGATTTGTAATAGTGGAAATTAAAGTTTGGTAAATGTTCTGTTTGGAATTAATCACTGCATTTGAAAATAGTATTTTATAAGCTTACTTTGCGCCAGCAAGTGACTCACCTTCATTCCACTTTTTAAATAGGATGAAGATGATGACTACCTGCTAGAAAATGTGACCTTTGCACCCAAGGATGTCATGCCTGTGGATTTCACACCTAAAGATAATGTACATGGACTGGCTTACAAGGGTCTGGATCCCCAGCAAGCGTTGTTTGGAGCTTCAGGAGAACATCTTAATCTTTTCAGTGGGAGACCCGAGGGAGCCAGCAATCTTCTTGGAGATATTGGAGTGAATAAAGGGAGAAAGTTGGGAATTTCAGGCCAGGTAAGTGCTTCTGTCTTATAAACAAGGAGCTCTTGGCAAATGAGAATACTCCTCATTATATTTGCCCCGTAGTCGGGCACTCATTATTGACTGACTGCATGAAGACCCCCGAGTGGTCACATTTTCCTTTGGGCCTGTTCTGAAGATATGTGAAGGATACCTGCGTGATTTTAATATTTACTGCTGAGGTCCTGGAGCCTGTGTTCTTGGTGGAGTTTGTGTGTTCCCAGGAGTGAGGACTACTTTTTCACACTCTTGTGGGGCTGAGCAGAAAACCACACTTACCCTTTTGGTTTAGTTAATAGTTGAATTTCAGTCTGCTGCTCCAAACTCAGGTCCAAGTTTGACTACCTCCTGGACTATTTCCTAGTGCCACCAGCCCTAAGTTGGGAGTGTAGGTGTAAGTTTCCCATGGGAGACTTGCTTTGCATCTTTGAGGAGATGGAAAGCTTTTCCTGACTGCCTGTCCTCTCAAATTGATTCAGAGGTTCTTTCCTAAATTACATTTAGAAAATGTCATTATTGTTTTTTCCAGTTCTTTTAACAGAAAGGGATACTTGGAGATCATTTCCCACAAAGATTAGGAGTTCTTACAGTGGCTATTACAGTAGTGGTGGTCTCCAGACCCTGGTCACCAGCTCTGTCCCAGTCATACTGAACAGCAGATGAACACTCTTCCTTTCTCCATTAGAGGCCCCATTCCCCTCCTGCACTGCTGCTTGTGTGCATTCTTCATTCCTCTGCCCGTGCTAGGACCCAGACCCATAGCTGCTGCTGGGCGTGGCATTCACATCTAAAGGACTTGAGTCTCTGCATTAATCAGGGTCTCCCATTTGCTTCTCACTTGGTGCTTTTACAGTGCTAATGTGGTCTGTTCAATTACATTGTTAGAGTAGCTTTATCCTTCAGTGCAGACACTCCAAACCTGTAATTGCTGTTTGAAACCTTGTTTTGAAGGCTTTTGGTGTTGGTGCCCTGGAAGAGGAAGATGATGATATCTATGCCACAGAAACTCTATCCAAGTATGACACCATTTTGAAGGATGAGGAGCCTGGAGATGGACTGTATGGCTGGACAGCGCCCAAGCAGTATCAAAGTCAGAAAGGTGATTCCATAGACCCACAGCTGATGGGAGGATCAGTGTGAGGTTATCAGGAAGAAGGGATGGCAAGCTTGATACTGCAGTGTCAGCCTCCAAGGAGTAGGGGGCTGTTGGTCAGAGATGCAGATTGAGAAACAAAGTTAGAAGAAGAGAGGCCCAATGTGGAAAGTAAGACAGGATTTAGAATGGGTCACAGCTGCCAGGCCGGTGTGGCTTAGTGGTTGAGCATCGACCCATGCACCAAGAGGTCACCGGTTTGATTCCTAGTAGGGGACATGCAGGAGGTAGCTGGTGTTTCTATCTCTCCCTCTCCCTTCCTGTCTCTCTAAAATAAAAACAAACAAACAAGAAATAAAAAAAAGAAAACAAACAGAAAACCACACATTAAAAAAAAGAAAAGATTAATTCACTCCTTTAAAAAAAAAAGAATGGGTCAAACCAAAGCCAGTTATCAAGGCAGGGCCAAGGAGGGGAGGAAGAAGAGGCCTGGAATCGGAAGGAGCAAGTGTGTGGGCAAGAAGAGCTGGCATTTGGTCAGAGTGAAGCACTTCCAGCTCGAGGAACTAGGCAGGTGGTCAAAGGAGGCCACTCCAGCAGTAGGTGTGAAGGCCAGATGTGGTGACCAGGTGGCAGGAATACTGAGAGCCTGTAGGAGGATGGAGCTTGGCAGCCAGTCTGTCTTCTACTTGTGTCCCTGGCTCTTAGGGGGCTCTTATTGGGCAAAGAGGTAGACATCTGTCAACACAACTTGAATTTCAAGTCAGAGTTTATAATGATTCAGAATCTAGGTAGTATTTCAATTATTGATTGATTGATTGATTTTTCAAGAGAGAGGGGGAGTTGTAGAGACAGAGAAACATCGATTTGTTTTTCCATTTATGCATTCATTGGTTGAGTCTTGCATGTGCCCTGACCCAGGGATGGAACCCGCAACCTTGGTGTATTGGGAGGACACTCTAACCAACTGAGCTACCTGGCCAGGGCCAGTAGTATTTTAAATTTTCAATCCAGAAAAGGTGTAGGCAGGAGGCAGGGCTACATAGGTATTTGTAGCATAAGATCTGGAACCAATCAGACCTGAATTTGGATCCCTGCTTTCTTCTGCCCAGCTGTGTGGCCCTGGGCAAGGCTTGTAACCTCTCTGGGCATCATTTTTAATGTGAGGATAAAATCCCCTCTCTGACCTAGCTGGTGTGGCTCAGTGATTGAGCATTGACCCATGAACCAAGAGGTCACCAGTTCAATTCCTGGTTAGGGCACATGCCCGGTTTGGGGGCTCAATTCCCAGTAGGGGGCATGCAGGAGGCAGCTGATCAATGTTTCTCTCTCATTGATAATTCTCTCTCTCCCTCTTCCTTCCTCTTTCTCTAAAAATCAATAAAAAGATATTTAAAATCCATGAGGACTAAATAGCATAACTCTGTGTTTGGCTCCTGCCTCAAAGGTTGATTAAATGGCACCTACTATTTATTCTTCAGTTACAATGATAATAATCACCCAAATAAAGTTAGGAGGGCAAGAGCTGAGATGAAAAACAATCTATTCAGACATATTTAGCTATACGCAGATAAAATTTGATCTAACTTGTAGAATACATATAAAACCATACTGTTGAAATATTCTAAGCATCACTCCCTAAAATGATGCCAGTTTACATTTCTAGCAGAGAAAAGGCAGGTGTAAAACAGTTTTTCGGAGGTAGTTTGCTTAATGGTTGTGAACACAAACTCTGAAGACTGATTGCCTGGGCTTCAGTCCTGGCTCTCCCCACTTAGCCATGACCTTGACAAGCTACTTAACTTCTTTGTGCCTCGGCATCCTTGCCTGGACAGGGCATGACGATGGCATAAGTGTCCCATGGAGGTTGTAATGTACGTAAAGGGCTTGACCTTGCCTGGCACACAGCCAGCACTCAGTAAGTGAGCGGCCTGCCATCATTGCCACAGAAGATGCTGGAAGGGTGTGCTCCAAATGTTAGTTGGAATGACCTCTGATGATAGACTACTTTTATTTTCTCCCTTTTGCTTGCTTTTATGTTTTTTGCTTTACCTTTATATTTTCAAGATTTTCTACTAAGCTATCATCTTTATAACTTACAAGAAGTTATATAATATATATTAATGTTATAATATGTTAATATAGGTTATATTAAATGCTAATTATTAATTATATTAATTATATCAATATATTAACATAATTTGATATTATTAATATTAACATAACATGTTGTGTAATAATTACTAAACTGTAATAAATAAATACATTTATTTATTGTTAATCCTCACCCAAAGATATTTTTGTTGTTGTTAATCCTCACCTGAGGACATTTTTCTATTGATTTTTAGAGAGCATGGAAGGGATGGGGAGATACAGAGAGAAAAACATCAATGAGAGAGAGACACACATCAATTGGTCGCCTCCCGCATTTGCCAAGACCAGGGCCTGGGATTGAACCTGCAACCCAATTTCCTGCCCTTGGCTAGGAATCCGAATCTGCAACTTTTTGATGGATAGGACAACGCTCCAATCAACTGAGCCACCTGGCCAGGGTGACCTTACGGTTTTTCACTGAGTAAATCTATAGTTAGCCAGTCATAATGGTTCTTATTTTTGTCTTTGATCCATAGGGCTATAATAAATATCCTCATGGCTCTTTATGCACATTTGCTGTATATATAATTCATAAAAGTAAAACTGCAGGGTTTTAAAAGAATACAAAATGACAAGAATGTGAAATTTAATCATAAATCACCTTACAGAATCTTAGGAACTTCCAGAACTGGTACAAAAGGTCAACAGAGTGATTTTGTGGGGGGAGGATAGTTACCTGGCCTTGCAGCAGTGCTAGCGGCAGAAAGCCTCAGGCCCACCTGCACTGCGGGCTGAACACCAGCTTGAGGACTGACACCAGCTGTGTCAGTGCTCCTGGTGGTCACGGGAATGGCCTTGGGCTACAGAAAATGTAGTTTGTGCATACTGAGTTTTGACAGAACCACTATGCGCAGGAAATCCTTGATAATCAAAGATCCTTTGCCAATGGGGTTGTCTCTGCGACCAGTGGAGGATCCCTGGCTTTACGTCAGAGGAAATTAGTGATCTTTATCTCTTACTAGGATTTCACTTGAGAAAAAGACAAAAGTGCCTTTTAATTTGTATTGAGATTAGATTACCGGCTGACCTGGTTGTATTGTTGCTAAGAAAATTGGGAGGTAGTCTCATGGTTCTTCACCTGGTTTTAGAAATGACCCTCTCACAGTTATGATTTTTACGTTGATCTGTATTTGTTCTCTTGATGGTTTTCCTTGAGATATTTTACTCCACAGAGTATATTTTTTGGTGCCCCTTAGCTTAGGACGTCCAGCACCTTTTCTGGAGGGCCGTGACCTGGGTCCTGGGCAGCCTAAGCACTGTGGGTGGCGTGGGCCTGGCTGCCAGAGTCAACAGAGGTATTTCCTCCTTTGCTGCTATCTCTGTGCGATAGCACGGGTGACACGTAGTATTTGTGTTCTTAGAGATTAAAAGCTGACGTCTTTGTCTTATTCTTATCCATACTTGTGAAATTAATCAATGATATCATTTTGTAGAATCAGAAAAAGATCTTCGCTACATTGGCAAAATATTGGATGGATTTTCCTTGGCTTCTAAATCTTTGTCTTCTAAGAAAGTAAGAGTTTTTTTGTTTTTATTTATTTATTTTTTCTGGTTTTAGTATCTAAAATATTTGCTGAGTTATTATATCAACAACTGGAATGATAAGTAAATTCTGTTTTCAAAAGCACCAGCATAGTTACTAACGATTGTTGAGGAAAACATCCTGTATTAGAAATGGCAGTCAGTAGGCACATTGTATTCAAAACAGCTAATTGCTGATCTTTTTTTTTTTTTTTAAAATATATTTTATTGATTTTTACAGAGAGGAAGGGAGAGAGATAGAGAGTTAGAAACATCGATGGGAGAGAAACATCGATCAGCTGCCTCCTGCACATCTCCCACTGGGGATGTGCCCGCAACCCAGGTACATGCCCTTGACCGGAATCGAACCCGGGACCCCTGAGTCCGCAGGCCGACGCTCTATCCACTGAGCCAAACCGGTTTCGGCAAATTGCTGATCTTTTAAATCCAGACTTAAAGTGAGTAGTTTTATCCATTAAAAAATTACATTAGAAACTGGTGGGAGAATGGAATTGATAAAATTCTAGGGACAATGTAACTTAAGGGAAATTAGAAAACTTTCAAAAAGCTGAAATGACTCACAGCCCTGAATCCTCCTCAATGCTTGAGGCATTAACTAATGTGGACGAGGTTCCCTGGGCTCCTTGCTGGGCAAGCAGGAGGGAGAGAAGCCAGGTACATGCAGATCGGGTCTGGGGAGAACTCTGTGCACTTTTCCAGGTAGTCCTGTCTTTATGAGATTTTGTTACAGCTTAGGCAAGTGGTGCTCTTTAACACCCCTCAGAGTCACCTGTTCCTAGGCGGACATCACAAGTTAGTGGGTGCTGATAGCTGAGGAAGGGCTCCTGGCATTTATTTTGTTGGCATCCTTTTTTTAGGTTGTTTCACACTGCGTAATGGGCTTCTTGTTTTTCATTCAGCAAACATTTGTCTTGGCCCGTGGTTCTCCAGAACTGGGGCGGCCAGGAGCAGTGCAGCCTGAGAAACTACATTTGGCATTGCAGTGGCTGTCATTGGTTTAGTCGTAATAGTTAGCTAATGTATTGTAATAATGAGCAGAATATATTTAAAACAGTGTTGGATGCATACTAAGCTGTTATTACTAACAGAAATGTCAAATATGTCAAAGGAGAATGCGAGTTTTTTACATTTATGAAAGGGGAGCATAAAAATGCTTGAGAAATACTCATTTGACTCAGGGTTCAAGGATAAATAGGACAAAGTCCTGACCCCCAAATAGCTCCTGTTCAGTGAGGGTGCAAGACAGACAAGTTCACTGAAGGGTAGAGTGCCACAGTGGACAGAGGGGCAGGGGGGTTCCCGAGGCGCTCCTCACTTTGAGCGTGAGTGACTCAGAGGAGGGCTGCGTTCACCTACTTTTTCACAGACAGGAAAGTTTTCTAAAAATGTGGCTAAGCACGCACCGCTAAAATGCTTTGACTCTGATGGAGGGTGTGAAGGCTTGTGTGTACGCACCCCTTTTCTTCCATGCTCCGCTGGATTTTGGTGTCTTGGTAACATGAGGGTGTTTGCTGGCTGATTGGGGAGTCTGTTTTTAGAGAAGGTGGTCAGGTTAAGATGGTGAAAAATGTGATTTCCTAACAGTGATAATACCACCCTTCTATAGATTTTTTCATGCCAGGTGCTCCCCCACAGGGAACCACCTGGGAACCTTACAGCCATCTGGGAAACTTGGGGAACTCCAGTTGTTGCTGATTTTGTGGGGTGGGATGCAGGCATCATTACTCTGAAAAGCCTCAGGTGAGCCCAGCCTGCAGCTGGGGTTGAGAACTGCTGCCAGAGGGCACTCAGAGCGTCGCTGGTTACAGGCTCAGGGTTTCAGGCAGCTGAAAAATCTAGAACACAGCTTACATAGGACTGTCCATAGTGCAAGAGAGACCATTTATTTATTTAAAAAATATGATTTTATTGATTTCAGAGAGAGAAAGGGAGAAGGAGAGACAGATAAAACATCGATGAGAAAGAAACATCATCATCAATCGGCTGCTTCCTGCACTCCCCCTACTGGGGGATTGAGCCTGAAACCTGGGCTTGTGCCCTGATCAGGAATTGAATCATGACTTGGTTCATAGGTCGCTGTTCAACGATTGAGCCACACCTGCCGAGCAAGAGAGACCATTTAAAGATGTCTAATACTTAAAAATTTTTTTAAAAATAAAGCGTTTATTTGAGCCCAAACTAATGACATATGCCAAGAAGCAAGATCTCAAATGCTTCTTTAAATACTTTATTTTTAACTTACATATTTCTGCTATCATTAATGCCTGAGTTTCCCAAATTCTATATTTCAGTTTCAGTTCATTCAGCTGTTTTTTTAAATTGATATTTTTTGAGAGGGAGCGGAAGAGAGACAAAAACATAGAAACATAGAAATATCTAGCTGAGAGTGAAACATTGGTTGGCTGCTTCCTGCTGGGGATAGAGCCCACAACCCAGGCATGTGCCCTGATCAGGAATGGAACCAGCAATCTTTCTGTGCATGGGTCAATGCCCAACCAACCAAACCACACCAGCCAGGGCTCAGTCAGCTTTTAAATTAAAAATACCTCAGATAGCCCTGGCTGGTTTGGCTCAGTGGACAGAGTGTCAGCTTGCGGACTGAAGGGTCCTGGGTTTGGTTCTGGTCAAGGGCACATGCCCGGATTGCAGGCTTGATCCCCAGTAGGGGGTGTGGCTTTTGGCTACAGAAAATGTAGTTTGTGCATACTGAGTTTTGACAGAACCACTATGCGCATCATTGATTCACTCTCATCATTGATGTTTCTATCTCTCTCTTTCCCTCTCACTTCCTCTCTGAAATCAGTAAAAAAATATGTTAAAAAATACCTCAGATAAAAAACAATAAGGCCTAAAGTTCCAATTTGGAATGGAAACAACCAAAAAAATATTTCTGAATTTAAAATTAACTTATTTAAAGTTATTTTTCCTATACCTTGAACCATACTTTTCTAAAATTTCTGATATACAGTGGGCCAGTTCTGCACGTGGGCCTGTACATCGTGTTATTGTCATTGTTCTTGTTCTTATATGAAACGTGCATATTAGCATCTCTGTGTAGAGTGGGCAGGGTGACATTAAAAATGTCTGGTTTTTAGAATAGTGTGGTTCTGGTGACCCTCCACATCCAGAATGGATGTTGGCTGGGCTCCGGGACAATCTGCTCCCAGTGCTGCCTACCCACCTGCTGAATGTTAGCCTGGGAAAGGCTTGGGTTAATAACGCTCAGAGGTAACGGGTTTTCTTGGTAAAATCAAACACCATCATCTTGCAGCCTGTATTTTCAGAATTTTGTTCTGTGTGTGTGTGTGTGTGTGTGTGTGTTTTTCATCATTCGGAGATAGGTGTGTGCTAAGTGGTCATCTCGTTTTTTTTGTTGTTGTTGTGTTTTTGTTTTAAAGATTTATCCACCACCTGAATTGCCAAGAGACTATCGACCAGTGCATTATTTCAGACCGGTGGTAGCTGCAACCTCAGAGAATTCCCACTTACTTCAAGTGTTATCAGAATCAGCTGGAAAGTCAATACATGACCCAGGGACACAGAGTAGACACCAACTGAATGCCTCCAAGCGGGGAGAGTTGCTAGGAGAAACACCTATTCAAGGTATGTGTCATGGAGAAGGTTAAAATCATTACATTTGTAATAATCTGAGTGGTCAAAATCAAATGGAAAGATGTTTTCCCATGATTTTGTATTCCCAAACTGGGAATAAAATTGTTTATTGTATATAAACGTAAGTGTACATCCTTTACTTCTTAAGAGTTGTTTCCCACCATCAGTTTCAGTTATGTCATTGAAATTACAACCCTTATCTTAAGCTCAGCAGTTTTCGGATTTTAATAATTGTTCAGCAATGTGACGAAGACTAGGGACATGTGTACCTTCACTTTCTCTGCACAGCCTGGGAACAGGATTTTTTCCTCAGGGGAAAAGGGTACTGTAGCACTTTTCCTGAAAGCCTGAAAGGAATGAATGCATGTGAAAGTGTGGACAGATGTGGAGCATCCCCTGTATGTTGGAGCAGAAAGACCCACTAAGCAAGATGAACTTGTACTTGCCCTTTGGGAGCCTAATAGGTATCTCAAATATAATAGACCCAAACAGAAGTCTTGGTTCCCACTTCTTTCCCCAAACTTGCTTTTTCTCTAGTCTTCCCCTTCTTAGTAAATGTGACCCACTGCTCAGATCAGAATGTAGGAATTCTAGTTCTTAGCTCCTCTCTTTCCTTCCCTCCCTGACCCTATCCACAGCAAGTCCTCTCATTTCTACCCCAAATAGGCATGGGGACTCCATGTACTTTTCTGCATTTCTGCTGCTTCCCCTGTGGTCTGAATGCCCATCTACTCTCAGCTGGACTATTGCAGTGGCTTCCTGATTGGTCGTATTTGTCCTCTGCAGTCATCCCCCTTAACAGTAGCTAGGTGAACCAACTTATATCACTGTTCCCCTTAAAATGATCTAGTACTTCTTTTTTTGTTGTTGTTTATTTCTATTTATCGATTAGAGAGAGAGGAAGAAATAGAGAAACACTGACTTGTTGTTCCACTTGTTTATGCATTCATTGGTTGATTCTTGTATGTGCCCTGACCAGTGATTGAACCGCAACCTTGGCATATTGAGATGACTCTCTAACCAACTGAGCTACCTGGCCAGGGCCACCAGTACTTCTTCCTTTTTAAAAATATATTTCTACTGATTTCAGAGAGGAAAGGAAAGGGAGAAAGATAGAAACATCAGTGATGTGAGAGAATCATTGATCAGCTGCCTCTTGCATGGCCCACATTTGGATCAAGTCTGCAACCTGGGCATGTGTCCTGACTGGGAATCGAACCCTGAACTTCTGGTTCATAGGCTGACGTTCAATCACTGAGCCATACCAGCTGGACCTTCCCTTATATTTTGGCTTCTTCTTTTTATTTAGAGCAGCGTTTCTCAACCTGTGGGTCGCAACCCCTTTGGGGTTTGAAGGACCCTTTCACAGGGGTCGCCTAAGACCATTGGAAAACACATATATAATTACATATTGTTTTTGTGATTAATCACTATGCTTTAATTATGTTCAATTTGTAACAATGAAATTGGGGGTCACCACAACATGAGGAACTGTATTAAAGGGTTGCGGCATTAGGAAGGTTAAGAACCACTGATTTAGAGGTTACCTCAAATATTCTCTCTTTAGAGCAGGGGTCCTCAAACTTTTTAAACAGGGGGCCTGTTCACTGTCCCTCAGACCGTTGGAGGGCCGGACTATAGTTTAAAAAAAAACTATGAATAAAAAGAAAAAACAAACAAACTATGAACAAATTCCTATGCACACTGCACATATCTTATTTTGAAGTAAAAAAACAAATGTTTTCGACGGGCTGCAGGTGGCCCGTGGGCCGTAGTTTGAGGACCCCTGCTTTAGAGGGACCTTCCAGGCCTTCCCCGCCCACCATATAAGCTATTATCTCTCCCTCCACCCCCACAGCCAGCACTCTCACTTAAGTCACCCTCAATCACATCACCCTATTTTCCCCCACAGTACTCCTCTCATAGCAATCCTCTGGTGTTGATTTTTGGCTTCTTTATTGTCCTTCCCCCTCATTCGTGAGAGCAGGACCTTGTCTGCATTGTCCTCCGGCTCCAGGTCAGTGTCTGGCATGGAGTGAGTGCTCCGTGAGCGTTTGTGACATGAGTGGGTGTGTGATGGGTAACTCTACTCTGAAATGGTTCTTGTGCTGGGCAGGACTGTAGAAATGGAGGCCACTAGGGACTGGAGGTCTGGAGTTTGAGATGTCAGCTTCCTCATTCAGGGACCATTTGCTGGCCTGATAAACATCTAAGTAGTAACCTCATTTTTACCAACTGTAAAATGGGCTCATATTTTATTACTGTCTAAATTACAGGGGTAATATGAATACAGATGAGACAGTAAATGTAAAATATACTAATTACATGAATTGGTGATATTGAAAGTGTATGTACAGAAAAATGTAAGTAAATTTGACTTATGATACTTTTCATCTCTTTCTATTATTGTTTTTATTTAGGTTCAGCTACTTCAGTGTTAGAATTTCTGTCCCAAAAAGATAAAGAGAGATTCAAAGAAATGAAGCAGGCAACTGACCTTAAAGCAGCTCAACTCAGGGCCCTGAGTCTGGCCCAGAATGCTGCAAGCAGCAGAACCCAGCCCCCGTCTCAGGTCGTCGGACACGGCTCTTGGCACACAGCATTGAGTGGTGGGACAGCCACCACAAAAGCCAGCAACTTCAAACCTTTTGCCAAAGATCCAGAAAAGCAAAAACGATATGAAAAGTTTTTAGCAAATATGAAACGGGGTCAGAAAGGTGGGTGCTAGGCCTGGTCTCCCATGTCTCAGCCAGCAGCAGTGTTCTTGGTGTTCTGGCCCGAGTCCCAGATTTAAAGTTGAAGCACCCTGCTCTGCCCATGTGCTTCGTTCTGTGGTAAACAGTGCAGAGATGTCAGGCCCTGGCTTTTGACCTTAGAAAGGAAGAACAGTTGGCTTGTGTTTCCGTTGATCTCAGGTCCCGAAGCCTGCTGTTTAATTAGAGAACATGCCGTGGTGGTGGCTAATGCTAAATTACAGACCACTTACTGTTTGCAAATGCTTGATCTCTGAAAGTGTTGTATTTCACACAAAAGAACAAGGTCATCTCCCATGCTACTTTAAGGTCCTAACCACCCAACTCTAAATCATAGTTTAAAATTTGACTTATAGAGGAGAGTTGGCTGTTGAACCATTACACAGGGTAAAAAAATCATTCTGATCCATGAAGTAAATAAATATGGCAAGACAGGAGAGGGCTGACTGTTATACGCAGCAATCCTTGTGAGAGGCAGCAAATTTAAAGGGCTTGATTTTCCAAAGCAGATCTTTGTGTACCGTGCTTGAACTCCCTACGAAGAATCCAGACCCCTAATGTTTATTTGATAAATTAAAAAAGAAGTTAGAAAAATAAAGTTAGGGAAAGGAATGTTTTTTTGCCAAAACTTAGGAATGTAATTGGGATGAACTTATTGTCTGGGAATGGTAACAGGTTCCTTGTTTCAAAGATGTAATCAAGCGTTAGTTCCCAAATGTTTTTCTCTGATGTACGCAGTAGAATTCAAAGGAAGCATCATTCTGAGAGAGTGAGCAATGTGACCTGTCAAGTTAGGGAGCCACCATGCTCTTAAAAACCAGCATGAGGACTTGCTTCTGGTGAAATCTGTGGGGACCCAGTGGTGCTACCAGGTGTTCCCCTTTAAGCCCCCTTTTTTCCCTAGGAGTGAAGCAGTTTCTTGTTCTCTGTACCGTAGATGCCCTGGAACATTGTCTGGATCCCAGTATGACAGAGTGGGAGCGAGGCCGAGAACGGGAGGAATTTGCTCGGGCAGCCCTGCTGTATGCATCTTCCCATTCGACCTTGTCCTCCAGGTTCACTCATGCCAAGGAGGACGACGATTCAGATCAAGTAGAAGTTCCTCGAGACCAAGAGGTCTGTTACCATTATGTCCCTACCTGGTGCATTTAAAAAAAAAAAAAAAGTTTTTTATTGATTTTTTTGCGAGAGAAAGAGAGAAGGGAGAGAGAGAGAGAGAGAGAGAGAGAGTGAGTATATGAGAGAGAAACATTAATTGGTTGCCTCTCATATACATCCTGACCAAGAATCGAACCAGTGACCTTTTGGTGCACAGGGCGACACTCAAACAACTGAGCCACTCCAGCCAGGGCGCCTGGTGCATTTAAAAAAAAATTTATCTTTATTTTTAAAAGTATTACAGACACTACCCTTCCTTCCCTCATTGACCCTCTCCTCCCCACTCCTGCCCCCTTCTGACGCCTGGTACATTAAAAAAAAAATTTTATTTATTGATTTGAGAGAGAGGAAGGAAGGGGGAGGGGAGAGAGAGAAACATCAATTGTTTCACTTGTTTATGCATTCATTGGTTGATTCTTTTATTTTTTTAAAAAAATATTTATTGATTTCAGAGAAGAAGGGAGGGGGAGAGATAGAAACATCAATGATGAGAGAGAATCACTGATCGGCTGCCTCCTGCATGGCCCCCACTGGGGAACAAGCCTGCAACCTGGGCATGTGCTCTTGATCAGAATCAAACCTGGGACCCTTCAGTCCACAGACTGATGCTCTATCCACTGAGCCAAACCTGCTAGGACTCATTGGCTTATTCTTGCAAGTGCCCTGACCAGGATTGAACCTGCAGCCTTGGCGTATTGGGATGATGCTCTAACCAACTGGGCTACCTGGCCAGGGCCTACCTGGTGCATTTTAAAATTAAAACATTGCATAGCTGCTAAGTAAAATAAGTCAGTCAGAGAAAGACACTCACTCATATGTAGACTCTAATTAACAAAATAAACTGATGAACAGAGTGGAAGCATGGAACAGTATCTTGGAGGGAAAGTGGGGGACGATGGGTGAGTGTGAGGTTACCAACTGAAGACCTGTATGCATATATGCATCACCCAGGGACACGGATAGTGGGATGGGGGGCCTGGGGCAGGAGGGGTAGGCTGGAGGGGGTCAATGGGGAAAAAAGAGGGACATATGTAATACTTTCAACAATAAAGATTTTAAAAACACACACACAATACACTGCATAGCTAAATATTTAAACTCCCTCAGTTGAAAAGATCAAAATATACATGGCATTGTAAAATTATAAATTACCTTTTTGTTTTTAGCTTCCGGTGTACTTTAGCAAAAATGTAGCATGACTGGTTGTGTAATTGTGAAAAATTGCTTGAAAACTTGTAAATGGGAGGGCAATGAGGTCAATTGTGTGACCACCTGATGACAAAGAATGAATGTCTTTTCCCAGAATGATGTCAATGACAAGCAGTCGGCTGTGAAGATGAAGATGTTTGGGAAGCTCACCCGAGACACATTTGAATGGCATCCTGACAAGCTTCTATGTAAGAGGTTTAATGTCCCTGACCCTTATCCAGAGTAAGTTGGATAAACCTCCCCTTCCATCAGCACTTATTCCCTATATTAAAGCTGCTTTTCTTCTTACATGCTCATATAAATTCCCTTTTTCTAGATGAACTTACTTGTATATACTTGAGTTGCAAATTGTGCAGATTTAATTTCTATTACTTTGTTATTGAAAAAACAAACATCCAGATAGCAAACTTATTCCATATTTAAGATATAAAACTCAGATATGTCAAGTTATAAAACGTAATGCTTATCTAATTTGCCACTTTTTCAATCCTATCCTATATAATAAAAGGCTAATATGCAAATTGACCCAACGGCAGAACAACTGGTTGCTATGACATGCACTGACCACCAGGGGGAAGATGCTCAATGCAGCAGCTGCCCCCTGGTGGTCAGTGCACTCCCACAGGGAGAGCACTGCTCAACCAGAAGCCAAGCTCACGGCTGGCGAGCGCAGCGGTGGTGTCGGGAGCCTCTCTTGCCTCTGGGGCAGCACAAAGGATGTCCTAAGCTATCAGTCGGACATCCCCTGAGGGCTCCCAGACTGTGAGAGGGTGCAGGTTGGGCTGAGGGACAACCCTCCCTGCCGAGTGCATGAATTTCATGTACCGGGCCTCTAGTAATTCATATACAGTTTACATTTAAAATGTTACTTACGTTTTATAATTCTTTATAAAAGTTTAGTACTTCTTATTTTATTATAAACACCCCAAGAAAGCATATACAGTTGAATCAGAGACTTTGTCAGAAGATTTAGGTACGAGGTTGACCCTTGAACAATGCAGTGGTTAGGGGCTCTGACACTGCACACCGTCCGCCCCACTCCCACCACCCCCCCCTAGTCAAAAGTCCATGTATAACTTTTTTTAAAAAAAAGTATACTTTATTTATTTATATTTATTTATTTATAAATCCTCAACTGAGGATATTTTTACATTGATCTTTTAGAGAGAGTGGAAGAGAGAGGGAAAGACAGAGAGAAACATTGATGTGAGAGAAACACATCAATTGGTTGCCTCCTGCACGAGCCCCGACCTGGGCCTAGGCTGGGAGGAGCCTGCAACTGAGGTATGTGCCCTTGACCAGAATTGAATCCAGGACACTTTGGTCCACAGGCCAACGCTCTATCCACTGAGCAAAACCGGCTAGGGCTATAACTTTTTTTTTAAAGATCCAATGAATTCTCATTCCAAAGGTTTATTTTATTTTATTTTCATTTTAGAGGAAGGGAGAGGGATAGAGAGACAGAAACATCAATAAGAAAGAAACATCGATTGGTTTCCTCCTACATGCCCCCTACTGTGGATCAAGCTTGCAACCTGAGCATGTGCCCTGACTGGGAATCAAACCATTCCCTCTTGGTTCATGGGCTGATGTTCAACCACTGAGTAACACCAGCTGGTCTCACGTATAACTTTTGACTCCCCAAAACCTTAACTACTAACAGTACTGTTGACCAGAAGCCTTACAGGTAACATAAGCAGTCGACATACTATTTTGTATGGTATATGTATTACATATCTATCTATCTATCTATATATATATATATATATATATATATATATATATAGAAGCCTAAGTGACCATTATGACTGGACGACCAGCCAGTAGCTATTACGCACACTGACCACCAGAGGGCAGACGCTTAACGCAGGAGCTGTCCCCTGGTGGTCAGTGTGCTTCTACAGTCAACCTCCTGCAGCTGGCCAACCTCTGCCGTCCCTGGCCGGCCTTGATTGGCCCTGATTGGGACTGGGCAAGATGGCCCCAATAGTTCAGGAGGGACCCCCCCCCCCATGCATGAATTTGTGCACCGGGCCTCCAGTATTCTTATAATAAAGTAAGTTAGAGAAAGTAAAGTGTTAAGGAATCATAAGGAAAATACATTTATGGTATCTATTGAAAATAATCTGCATATAAGTGACCTGCACAGCTCAAACCTGTGCTATATTTTTAGCAGTGGAACTTTTCCTTAATGGAAATCCATCTTCAAAGTTAAATTCTAGCTCTTACTATAATCAGGAAAAAACTAATGGTTACTAAAGTCACCCATTATAAATTCTTAAATTGCTTTGGCAAGTGAAAACATCTTAGGGGACCTTTATAACCAAGTAGAAGAGCTACAGGTGAAACACATGAGATGGTAAGCTTTATAGGAATTAGATTTTATTGTCACAGTTGTTATTAAAATTATATTCATATTTTTTCTTTTCAAAACCCCCAGTTCAACTTTAGTTGGCTTACCAAGAGTGAAACGTGACAAATACTCAGTCTTCAACTTTCTGACACTCCCAGAGACAGCTTCCTTGCCTACAACTCAAGCCTCAAGTGAAAAAGTACTGCAGCACCGAGGTCCCGACAGTGAGTAGGGCTTCCTCAGGTCCAGTTGCTGACCATGGTCTGTTGGGAAGACAGATATAAAGGGTCATCTAATCCTAAGGATACACAGAGTGCAAACTCTCTTCCTATAAACATAATTGCTCATATGGATACCTTAGCTCATGTTGTAATGGTCCAGATGTGTCCTGTTTGGGGTGGTACTCTGCCTCAGCATCTGCCACATGCCCAACACTTTGCACAGTGCCCGGCCTGTAGTAGGGTCTCTGATGTTCTTGAATGAGCTGTAATGAAAAACTCGTCTTCTGCTTGCTAATTCTGATGTTATGTCTATGTCCTACTTTTCAGAACCAAGAAAACCATCCAGATGGGATACATCTAAACAAGAAAAGAAAGAAGATTCCATTAGTGAATTCTTAAGTTTGGCTAGATCAAAAGTTGGTCCACTTGAACAAGAGTCCAGTCCATTAGTAAACAAAGAGGAAGTGCATGTGAAGGAATCACTCTCAAATAAGGTATTTGGGCTTCTGGTTCTCTTTGCCAGGCTAGCCGTGGCCTTTACCTTTCTCTATAGTGAGCAGGGGTAACACACTCTGTGAAGGGCTAGTTATTAACACGTTAAGCCCCATTTTAGTCACCGGTGACCTACACTATACTTTCCGTCCGGAAGACAAAACAGGCTGGGTGCTTAATGTGTTAAATATTGAAAGCTTTGTGGGCCATAGTCTCTATTGCAACTATTCAACCCTGCTGTTGAGTGTGAAAGGAACCACAGGCAATGTGAAAACAATTGGGTACTTGTATCTTCTATAATAATAAAAGTGTAATATACAAATCTACCGAACAACCAAACAGCAGAACGACCTTCCAGACAACCTTCTCGATGACCACGCTATGACATGCACTGGTTCCAGGCCAGCCAAGGCGGGTGCAATGTGATTGGTCAGGGGGCCCTGCCATTGCTCCACAATTGCCCTGCGAGGGAGGCCCAGGCCACCAGCTGGTGGGGCGATTGATCGGGGGTGGGGACAGGGGGGCTCTGCAGTTGCCCCAAAGAGGGAGGCCCAGGCCACCCTCTGTGCAGCAATCAATCTGGGGGCCCCTTGATCAATCCCACAGAGGGAGGCCCAGGCCACCGGCCAACGATGCTGTGGTGGGTGTACGGGGCCGGCCAGCGATCGCCCCACAGAGGGAGGCCCAGGCCAGCCAAGCAGTCTCACCCCACACCTGTCGCCTGCAGAGAGAGGTGACCGGTGGTGGGGGAGGGGGGGCAGTGCCAGACAGATGGCAAGCAGTGGCAGCGGCGGGGGCAGAGCCAGCTGCTGGCAGCCAGGGGAAGGAAAGCCCCGATAGGCCCTGATCACCAGCCAGGCATAGGGACCCTACCCAAGGGGTCCCGGATTGTGAGAGAGTGCAGGCCAGGCTGAGGGACACTTTCTCCCCCATGCACGAATTTTGTGCACTAGGCTTCTAGTGTTCCAATAAAACTTATTTACAAAAACAGACAGTAGGTTGGATTTGGCCCCTGGGCTGTAGTTTGCCAACACCTGCGCTACTGTCGAACAATTTGAGTCACAGCTTAAATCATTTGAGGAGAGGTTATAAACTGCCTAGAATGGCTTTCATGTAGCATTAACTATTAAAACAAAATTCAATGTATTTGTATTAGAAAATATAATTTTCCAAGTAACAAGTATTCTCTTTTGTGGAGAATATAGAGAGAATATCCATTGTTGGTTTTTTTTAAATTACTGCTTTAATAGTTAACAGTTGAACTTAATAAAAAGTTGCTTTTATTTATTATATTGTCATTACATTTTAAAATATTTTTGTAACTTATTATTATTAAACCTGGGCAGGGTTTACTCTAGTTTTTAATCCTCACCCTATTGATTTTAGAGACAGAGGAAGGGAGGGAGAGACAGAGAGAAAGAGAGAGAGAGAGAGAGAGAGAGAGAGAGAGAGAGAGAGAGAAACATCGATTGGCTGCTCCCGTTGCACCCCGACTGGGGATCAAAAGAGAGAGAGAGAGAGAGAGAGAGAGAGAAAGAGAGACATCGATTGGCTGCCTCCCGTTGCACCCCGACTGGGGATCAAACCTACAACCTTCTGGTGTAGAGGGCAGTGCTCCAACCAACTGAGCCACCTGGGCAGGGTTTACTCTAGTTTTAAATTAACCTACATTAAAACAGACTTTTTTTTTTTAATATATTTTATTGATTTTTTACAGAGATGAAGGGAGAGAGATAGAGAGTTAGAAACATCGATGAGAGAGAAACATCGATCAGCTGCCTCCTGCACATCCCCTACTGGGGATGTGCCCGCAACCCAGGTACATGCCCTTGACCGGAATCGAACCTGGGACCTTTCAGTCCACAGGCCGACGCTCTATCCACTGAGCCAAACCGGTTTTGGCTAAAACAGACTTTTTAAGCCCTGGCTGGTTTGGCTCACTGGATGGCTTAGCCTGTGGACTGAAGGATCCTGGGTTCGATTCTGGTCAGGAGCACATACCTTAGTTTCTGGCTCGATCCCTGGCCCAGGGATGCGTGTGGGAGGCAGCCAATGATGTGTCTCTCTCACATCGATGTTTCTCCTCCTCCCTTCCATTCTCTCTAAAAAATCAATAGAAAAAATATCCTTGGCTGAGGATTAACAGCAACAGCAACTTGACTTTTTAAATGTACAGTTCAGTGAGTTTTTGCACAGATTCATGTAATCACTATCACAATCAGGATACATATGGTACCATCATCACAAGAAGCCTCCGCATGCTGTTCCTTTATAGTTTCCCCTCTCTGCATCCCAGAACCCAGTCAGCCACTGATCTCTTCTTTGTCTTTATAGTTTTGTTCTAGAATGTTATATACTAGTAAATGGAATCAGACAATATATAGCCTTTTGAGATTGGCTTCTTTCATTCAGCATCATACCTTTGAGATTTATAGTATTTTTGCATGTAGCAATAGTTCATTCCTTTTTATTGCCAAACTAGAGGCCTGGTGCATGAATTCGTGTATGGGTGTGGTCCCTAGGCCTCACCAGCGATCGAAGCGCCACGTGCCCCCCTCCACCTGAGTCATGGTGCCGGAGTCCCCACACAGAGATGTGGTGAGTGTGGCCGGATGCCATGGGCCTGGGTGCAGTGTGGGCATGGAAGCTGGGTGGGCAGCGCGCTCTGTCCCAGCTGACCTCGTAGACTGGCTCCTGTGTGAACCCACGATGAACCCGACCAGACCCTGCGGTCCCAGCTGCTGCGGCCGGGCTCACCTGGAAGACGCCATGTGGGTGCGGGGTGGGCTCCTTGTGGGCACCTGGCACCTCAGCGCGGGGGGCTTCCCTGGCGCATGAGCCCTGGTATCCCAGAAAAGGTAGTAGGGGGAGTGAGAGCGAGCTCAGGGGACACCCCGCATTCTCACTGCACCTCTGTCCCCCGTCACCCCCGCCCCCAGGTTGTCGGCGAGAGGTTGCAGCACATCGCTGATGCCCGCCATGTTCTGCGCCGCCCCCTGGTGGTCAGCGCATGTCATAGTGAGCAGTCGAACTCCTGGTTGAGGGGACAATTTGCATATTAGGCTTTTATTATATAGGATACTATTTTGTTGTATGGGTGTACCATAGTTTGTTGTTCACTCTTCAAGGACATATGGTTGTTTCCAGCTTTTGGCTATCATAAATAAAGCTGCTGTGAACATTCATGTGCAGATTTTATGTGGACATAAGTATTTATTTCTCACCTAATAGTGGAGTACTGGGTAATAATATACTTACAGATTTAACTTTATAAGAAACTGCCAGGCTGTATTTCAAAGTGGTTTTTGCTTCAGGTATTTTGAAATTCTCTTGTTAATTACATTCTCATTTTAGATTATTATATCTTTTTGGTAAATTGACTCTTTTATCATTATGTAATATCACTCTTTATCTCTTTTACATAGTACTAGTGTATATTTTTCCATCATTTTAACCTATCTAATTCATTACCTTTAAAGTGGATTTTTTTATAAAAAGCAAGTAATTGTCATTGAGTCTTTTTTAAAAAATGCACTTGGTAATATACATGTTTTAATTTGTGTTTTGATCATTTGCATGTAATTTGTTGATATATTTGGATTTATATTTGCAATTTTATTACTTGCTTTCTGTCTGTTTTTATTCTTTTTTTGTTCCTCTCTTTTCCCTTTCCTGCCTTCTTTTGTATTACTTAAATAATGGTTAGTATTCCATTTTGATTGATTAATTATTATTTTTAAAAATATATTTTTATTCATTTCAGAGAGGAAGGGAGAGGGAGAGATAGAAACATCAATGATAAGAGAAAATCATTCATTGGTTGTCTTCTGCACACCTCCTACTGGGGATCAAGCCCGCAACTTGGGACCTCTTGGTCCATGGGACAACGCCCAGTTTACTGAGCCACACTGGCTAGGCAATTTATCTATTAATTATTTTTTACTCTCTTTATTTTTTAGTGATTATTTTAGGGATTACAATGTACAAATTTACCTTTTCACAGTCTACTTAGAATTGATATTTTATCCCTTCAAGTGTAGTGTAGAAATCTTACCATGGATAGGTCTCTTTTCTCTCCATTTTATATTATCTTATGTATATACACTGAAAACTTTATCAGACAATGTTTTGATTTTTACTTCAATGTTATACATATTTTAAAGAACTGATGAGAAGAGAATAGTTTATTGTATTTACTGAGGTATATATCATTTCTGCTGTTCTTTCTTCATTCCTGAAGTTCCAAGTTCCCTCTTTCACTTTCTTCTGTCTGAGGAACTTCCTTTAGCATTTCTTTTACAGCACTTCCAGCAACTAATTCTCTTAATTTTCCTTAATCAGAGAATTTCCTGTGTTTTATCTTCATTTCTAAAGGATGCGTATGCTGGGAAAAGAATTCTGGGTCAGCAATTCTTTTCTTTTAGTTCTTAAAAATGTTGTACCACTTCCTTTTGACATTCCTAATTTCTGACGAGAAATCTACAGTCATTCATATAATTATTTATCTCTTTATATGATGTGATATGATGTGATTTTTCCTCTTGCTTTTTGATTGTGATGTGTCTGGGCATGATTTCTTTGAGATTAGTGTGTTTGGGGTTTGCTGAGCTTCTTTGCGGGATAAAGTAATCTTGGTTGTAGGCTCTTGGTACTCTACACTTTGAATATTTCTTGCCACTCCCTTCTGGCTTGCAAAGTTTCTGTTGAGAAATCAGCTGACAGTCGTATGGGTATTCCCTTGTAGGTAACCGAGTTTCTTTCTCTTGCTGCTTTTAAGATTCTCTCTTTGTCTTTTGCTCTTGGCATTTTAATTATGATGTGTCTTGGTGTGGTCCTCTTTGGATTCCTTTTGTTTGAGGTTCTCTGCGCTTCCTGGACTTGTAAGTCTATTTCTTTGACTAGGTAGGGGAAGTTTTCTGTCATTATTTCTTCAAATAGGTTTTCAATATCTTGCTTTCTCTCATCTTCTGGCACCCCTATAATTCTGATGTTGGTACGCTTG